GTGTTCGACGCCGGCCAGGACATTTGCTGGATTTTGTTATGGGAGAATAGGGTTGTGGGGACACTAACCCTCTTGGTGGGGGGTAATGTAATGACCCGGCAGTGAGCGCTAGCAGCCAGGTGCATTATGGGTATTCGTTTAGAGTGGAATTACGTGTTAGTTAAGCAAGATGGTTGGGTTTTTGTGTTAGAAATGTTATGTGTGTTTATGTTTAAGTTAGTTCGGGTGGGTTTGGTTCATTTACTGCCTTGTTATAAAAAGTGTGGATGTTACCGTCATGGAGAGAGATGTGTCGGGGAAGGACTTGGCGATATGGCCTTACTTGTGTAGATTTATTCTGTGTTAGGAATAAAAGGAGAAAAGATTACAGCACTGCCCCCTGCTGGTTTGTTCTGGCTGTGCTTCTGCTTACAGAGACACTCATGGTCGTGCGGTGTATGTGACGCGAGTGTTCACACCTTCCACTAACCGTAGACAAGTCTCGCGTATTAATGCTAGCAATTTGTTAGGCGTTATCTTAGCAAAAGTCTAATAGCCTAGCTTAGCTCTGGTCAGCCCCACGTTCAATAGAACAACGGTGCGTTGTTACAATACTTTCCAGAAGGCCAACAATTCACTAAAAATGTTTTTTTTTATTGGTCTTAAGTATTCTAATTTGTTGAGATAGTGAATTGGTGGGTTTTTGTTAAATGTGAGCCAAAATCATCCCAATTAAAAGAACCAAAGACTTAAACTACTTCAGTCTGTGTGCACTGAATTTATTTAATACACGAGTTTCACAATTTGAGTTGAATTACTGAAATAAATGAACTTTTCCACGACTTTTCTAATTTGAGATGCACCTGTATAACATTAAACCTATATTAAAAATTAAGATATACTTAATGCATTTAATTAATATAAGCACAACCATGACCATTTAAGAGTTTTTTATTTAATGTTTAACCACAAAAACATCTTAATTACAGACACTAAGACATAAAATTGTGTAACTGGAGAAAAAGCACTAAACACTTTTAAAACAGTCTGATTGGCACTTTAGTGCTTTCCATCCACTCCCAGCTCTAACGGGCATTTCTCTGTGTAGATGTTTGTTGCATGATAAATGTACAGCAGGCAGAAATGTATCTCAAACACAAACTTCTGTAATTCAAAAAAAGAATAGACCAGTAAAACATAGGAGGCCAAATCAAAACTCAAAAAATTATTAGTTATTAATAAAAAATAAAACAAGGCATAATGTCTGTTTACCCATGGTAATTTCAGTTTATATTTGCATGACTGTTAATATATTGCATGGCGTGTCAAAGTTCAACAGTTATTTAAAAGCAGGTCACAACCAAGCGACACTGGGCTGTTTGCATGAACAAGCACCACAGAGACAGTAACAGGTTGCCTGACACATAAAAAAAAATAAAAAATAAAGGACCAGATACAGTATAACCTCAGCCATAATCAGGCATGAAATGAGGAAAGCACATATCTGTTTATAGCATAGACATCATCACAATGGTCCCATACAGAAATGAACTGATCTACAACAGCCAACCAATAAAAAATGTGTTTGAATAATTAAAGTAAATCAAAAAGACAAGGAGGTGAGTGTTTGTAGCCATCATCTTGACTCGTGTCGTCCCGGGATGATGGCTAAGTCAAGGTTTCCCCTTTTGTGACCTTAAGAGACCAAACAGAAAACAAATCAGGCGTTGATTTCAAACAATTTAGAACAAGAAGGTCCTGCAAACTCTTGTTATTGGCTTAAAACATACTCTGGCTTCAATGTACTCAATCCTCCTCTCCAAAGCAGTAAGCTTCTCATTCAAAGTGGCTAAACGGGACCTGCAGGACATATCTGGGGGGAAATCAGAAACATTTCTGTATTAGGACACATACGAGAAATGCCATAATTTGCATGCATGCATGAATAAATAATTAAAATGGCAAAAATAAGTTATTCATATAATTATTAATAATATAAATTATAATATTAACAATCTATATAATTATAAATATCACTCAATAATAATTAGGCCTATTATAATGATGTATACAAAATATTTGTTATAAATAAGTGACCTTTTTGTTCAATTATAGACATTACAGTATGCTGTACTAGCACTGAAATTGGGGCTGGTTTATCAAAACAAACTGCATTAGTATTTACATTAGTTCACCCTGTTTGGCTCTTTGACTATAAGCAAAGATATTAAATGTGTATTGAAATACGTTTATTTCAGTATAGCAAGCAATTAAATAATCACATTAACATTATATTTATTGTCAAAATAGTGCAAATCTGAAACATGAACGACAAGACCAGACCAACCCAACGCCTGCATGTTTTTCCTGGTCATTACACTGCCTGTATGTCTAACAAACTACGTCTTCAACAAATATACTCATTTATTATGATATTACATGGTTCTAAACAACAAAAACCTGCTGTAACACACATACTTTTCCGCCAATTATGCGGTCGAATGTCCCACTGCTCTCGATTAGCATGCTAGCGTGAAGAAATTGCGTAATAAATTATGTAAAAAAATAAACGACAAGTCGGAGCTTCTCCATCTTACCGAAGGAATTGAGGAAATCGGCTATCTTCTTAATGCTGCTGGTGATCACTTCGATATATTCACGGTTCGCCCAGTCTTGGTGAATTTCCCTTTGCACTGGATCCTCCTGTCCGGCCATCGTGAGCTAGTTAGCTTTAGCCGCCGAGTGTTGTGTGAGAGGAAGGAGCAGCAGCAGCAGCAGCAGCAGCAGCAGCAGCAGCAGCGCCCCCTGATGGACAAACACACACACTTCATTCTGGATCCTCATTCTACCGAGTACTACTACTACTTCTTGTTAGTTTTATGGCGGATTGCAACCATGACTTATCAGGTGCATACCGCAACCTACTGTATCGGAGTATACAGCATGGATCATATCTCACTGAATGCACTTTACATTATAAAAAAAAACAATTTATAAATAAACATTATAGCACTACTATCTAAATCCTATAATATACCCCTGTATCCTTCAGATATTCCACAACAGCATCCTGTGCATCTTTAACCCCTTCTCCTGTTGTTCCCAAAACACCCTCAAGGTTCCATTTCCTTCCTGTCCGATTTATCTTTTGGTTTAATCTAATCTTCTCTTCCCTATACTTCCTACAATGTAACAACATATGTTCTGCATTTTCTGTGATTTTACATTCCATACATTCATCTGATTTACTTGTACCTAACAAAAACAATGTTTTATTTAACCCTGTGTGGTCAAACCTCAGCCTGGTTAGAACTGACTCCTCCCTTCTATTCCTTCCATTCACACCCTGTGCGTTGATACATTTCTGTATACCAGGGTTCCTCAAATCTTGCCCTGGAGGTCCAATGCGCTGCAGAGTTTAGCTCCAACCCTGATCAAACTCAGCTACCTGTGATTTTCTAATGATCCTGAAGACATTGATTAGCATGCTCAGGTGGGTTTGATTAGGGTTAGAGCTAAACTCTGCAGGAAAGTGGATCTCGTGGGCCAGATTTGAGGATCCCTGCTGTATACTATAATATTTCCTTCCACTATTATCCATGTCCCATCTGTCCTGCCATTTCTTCATCATTTCTTTTTTTATTATTGCCTTAGCTTCTCCTTTACCAAAGGGAATATTTATAATATCGCTCGCCCTGGTTGATTTCTTTGCTATTTTGTCTGCTTTCTCATTCCCTTTTATATTTACATGAGCAGGTACCCAGCAGAATCTCACATCTATCTGAAGCCCCTGCAATCTAAATACATTTTGATGGATTTCTAGCAATAAATCTTCTCTATTAGATTTCATGTTTTGAATACTGTAAAGGGCTGCTACAGAGTCAACACAACATACCACTCTATCAGGTTTTACTTCCTCCACCCACTGCAACCCTACAATAATCGCCATCATCTCTGCCGTACCGAGTACTACGGAGGGATAATATGAAATTAAACACAAATATGCGAATCGTTGCACTTGAATTTTGCTATAAACAATTGCTTCAATGTAAAATAATAATAATCATATAAAATGGACAAAAATGTACGCCATCGCGTACGAACGTTTAAACGGGGGGGAAAAATACACAAACAGAAAAATAATAACATTCTGGTGTAACAGACATTAAACTCCCGGCGCGTGACCATAACAGATCTGGATAGGCCTATTCATAACGGATCAGCCTTCAGTCAAAGTATAATGATTTATCTATATTAACATTTTCGACTAATGTTCAGTTTCTGACTGTGTAGGCTAGCTACAAATGTGTGACCGTTCATAGCATTTCAATTAGGCTATTATTATCACCTGTTCAAAACAGTTCTGATTTATTTTCATATCCACCTTTTCTATGTAAGAGGGGTCATCTGGGTCCGATGATTTTTAGTGTTACAAAACAAATTGTTGTGCCGCTTCATAGTGCAAACTGCTGTTTCTTATCATATTACTTTCATGTATTGTCGTAGCTATAAACACATTGGATTGTAGCGCAAATAGTTTGACCATTAACTGCACTTTATTCTTTTAGTTAGGCTATTTATAGCAGCTTATCAGTTGGAAGTCTCACACATTCATCAACAGAAAATAGCTTAGGCTACTTACAGTATGCGTTGCAAAGTATGGTGGATAGCCTACCATGGTACCATGTTCAAAAACATTAATATTATGGTACTAGTATTTTGGCCTTTTGACCTCTACTGTACAGTAGAGTACTGTTTGGCAATAGGGTAGTTTTCATTAAACAAGCTGCATTTACATATAATAACATATTGTGCTTAATTGTTTTAAATCAATAGAGTGATGTCAACCAAATTTAGAAACTGTAGACCAAGCCTTGCAGCAACTTTGGATCAGGCAGCAGAGGAGGTTCCTAGTTTACCATCATCATTTCCAAACAGTGTCTCTTCTTTTCATAACTGCAGCCTGATAAGAACATCACAGGATGACAAATATGTATTTGACCACTGCACAGAGAGGCCAGATCGCATAAGTTTTAGGTGTGCATACTGTTTTTATCAGTGATAAATGTGCTGCAGTTATCCAAATTATCATGCCTGTTACTAATAATGAGGCCATTTTCTATAAATAGGAATGAAGACTTTCAGTGCTACACGCGTCCTTCAAAACTGCGTGATCTGTGTGGGCTCCTCGGCCAGTTTTATCATCATCAGAATCATGCCTGGTGTGACACTTGCCAGTTTTAAACTAACTTCCTTCTCTATTTTCAGATACACAGACCTTGGAGGATCTTGTGCCAAAGCTGGAGTTTGAAAATGAGCTGAATCGCGTCTACAGTAGATCCTTGCTGAGTAAAAACCCAGACTTTAGCGATGTGGAACAGGGAAGTACAGGCAGCTGGGTTCACGATAGTAAGGAAGAATATTCCTTCTGGCTAGACATGATTCTTGAGATTGAGCGGGACAGTGACTTCACTGCTGACTGTGATGTCAGTTCTTTGCAGCTGGACTTACAGTTATCACCATAGTTTGTGTGCCCTCAATGATTTATATGCTATAGGCCTACGTCTTTTCAGTTTGGAGGAAATTGGGTCATTTTCAAAAGAAAATGTGCTTTACATTTTTTTCCTGTACTTGGAAAGTTTTATGCATTTCATAATGTATTTTTGTATAGTATTGAGTTCATTGACGTACAATATGCGTGACATTCTCAATTACACCTTGTTTAACTTATTTCTGCACTAGGAATCAATATCAATAAAACAGATTAATAATAACTCCATTCAAGAGGATGTCTGCATAAATTACAAGACAACAAACATAACATTGTCTGACTAGCACTAAATAAAATACACATTTTTCATGAGCATTGTTGGTAAAATTATGTTTTTGTGAAGAATAGTAGAATTATTACTATTGATCTATACAATTTTAATTCTTTGTTATAATATCTACATACTCAAGCACAGGCCTGAAAGATTGCAAATACAAGAAACTTGTTTAAATACAGAGAAAAGATTCAAAATTACAATTAACCAATAGGGAAGTCAGATAGTATAATATCCACCAATCACATAAAGATATCAGAAAACATTCACACATCAGGTGAATAGCCTGTTTATATGGTGAACTACTAAGCAACATCCTATGCAAAGAAAAAAAAAAGTGTGCCTAATGTGTGATTTTTTTCTCTGATGTTATGCGATTGGTGGATACTATACCATCTGACTTCCCTGCTGGTTGTTAGTTTGAATCTAGATTGTATTTAAGACAAAATATACCGTATTATTCCTTTCAGTTCCACTTTCTGACTTTTTATTCCTTTAAGATACTCATGGGTCATGGCCCCGTTTAGTAAATACATTGTTTAGAAATGGTAGAAATAGTACTGTTGATCTATAAGTTTTAATTATATATTCAAAATAATACTAAGAGAAAATTCTATATCACTGTTTAGGTAAATGACAAGATTCCACATAAGCATGATATGACGATACTTCTGATCATTAAAACTCATTTTAATTTTACTGTGCATTATAAAGCCTGCAGTACTGATCTTTTAAAAACCATGCCAAGAGGAAATATGATTTTGCATGTGACTTATTAGAAAAAAAGTGGAAGTGAAAATGTAAGGTCATATGCACTGCAGTGTCATAATCTGTGAAATAAGGAACAGAAATGTTTTTTGAACAGTTTATTTTTCAGTTAACAGTTGAAAGATTATACCTAAGCTGTGCAGTTCATGAATGAATTACAACTATTATAATAAGCATTTACAGTTACATCAGAAGCTTCCCTCAGAAAGGTTTTAGGAAGGATCTTCATTAAGTAAGCGGTTTAAAAAACAGTCGCACTTGAATCATGTCTGCACAGTCGGCCTATAATCAAACAACAATATATAAGTGATATGAAACGGACGGTCAATCTTGCGTGGCCACAACATGAGGAGTTTGCCAGGTCTATTTCGCCCTCTTCAGAAGCTCTTTGATATCTGCTTCAATGTCGATGGTGTGGAACCTTCTGCTGTATCTCTTGAACGGTTCCCCGTCCGGGCCGATGAGGAACTTCTCAAAGTTCCAGGAGATGTCATTCCTGCTCACCGGACTCCAGATGATGCATTTGGGATCACCCATCAAGGACACAGAGTCGTCACTGGGCTGAGGCAGCTTCTCTTTGAGGAACACAAACAGAGGGTGGGCGTTCTCACCGTTCACTTCCAGCTTCTCCAGAAGTTGGAACTTTGGCTCGAAGCCATTTCCGGGACGGACGGACTTCAGAGACAGAAGAATTTCATCATTCTTGCAGTTCTCCTGTTAAGCAACCAAAATTGCATAATATGCAATAAAGCAGATAACGGCATGTGAGCATAGAATCAGTTAACAATGCAGGTGTTGTCCATTGTCATCGCTATCAAAATTGCTGATAGCAATACAAGATTGTGAAATATTTCAATTACTTCTATAGTGCAAACCGGTGAAAATTAAAATATATTAGTATTATTATAAATATATAAAAAGCTTTAATGTATTAAAAACAACAACAGTGACAATATAAAAATTTATTTTTAACAGATACTAAAAATATTAATTCTATATATGTATATATATATATATATATAGAATTAATATTTTTAACAGCTTTATATTTTACTATACGCAGTGTGTAACAATAATAATATGTTTATATATAATATTTAGGTATGTTTTAAAAAATAGAATATTTTTTAATGATATTAAAATCTGTATATCTGTCTACAGGATCTTTAATAATTATATATAATGTATCCTTAAAATCTGAAGGATTTTAAAAATACATAAAGTATTTAAATGCAGAGGCGGACAGTAGTGAAGTATTTGTACTCCGCTGTAAAAGTACTTTTCAGGTGTCTGTACTTTACCAGAGTGTTTTTCTTTAGAAAACTTTACTTCACAAAATTCCAAAGCATAATATTGTACTTTTTACTGCACTACGTTTCATATTAAATATCATTTAATACTTAATTACATTAGAAATGTATTACTTTCTTTCTTTTACTCAAGCGATTCAAAGATTTACTTGAGTACAAGAAAGTACTACATTATGTTCTTAAGTATTAAAGGTAAAACAAACACCAACTTTTATTTATGAAATGTAGTGCAGTACAACATTATGCTTTGGAATGTAGTGAAGTAAAGTTTTCCCAAGAAAAACACTCGGATACAGATACTTTTTTAATTTATTTGAGTAAAGTAAAAATACTTCACTGCTGTCCGCCTCTGTTTAAATGCATAAAAAAATAAATATCTGTATATAGGATTTATATATTAATATAAGTTAATTAAAATGTATGCAAGTTATATGATGTATTAATATAAGTTATAATCTATCCTCAAAAATCTAAAAATAAATAAATAAGTG